TCATCGGGGAGAAAAAGAACACAAGACTTGAAAAATCCTGAAGAATAAGCTAATCAATGAGTGAAAGTCTAAAGGTTCTCAAGTGAAGTGGAGTTGGAGACGCTGGTTTGATTTCTTCCTTGGATATGATCTCTATTTCCATAGCTGTAGTTTCTTGGCTGTGAATCAACTGGATGCTGCAGATCAAAGGTGTTCCAAAAGTATTTCCTCACAAAATATCAAGTGAAAAAAAAATTTTAATCTGCTTTTAGCAACTACTAAATCCGCCCAATCAATTCTCAAGACTCAGTTACAGTAGAAATCTTTTCTTTTCATTTTTTTCCCCCATCTACTCAAGAAAACTTTTTTTTTTTTTTTTTTTAAGTTGCAGTCATATTTCTCTCCTTTTTGTTTTCATCTTCTACTTTAGTTTGTTGGCACTTACGAAGTCTTGTTTCAATATAAATTGTGCTAATCATAAAATGACTAGCATCATTAAGGTTGCGCAAAGCACTAAAATTGACACATTAGAGATGAATACCAATTAGTATTGGAAGGGCAAAATACCTAAATGGCCCTCAAACTTTCATGCTCTTATACTTTTAACCCGTAGTGACTATTAAATGTATTTTTTTGCCCCCTGAATTCTTAAAAGAGTGTTCCTTTAGCTCTTTCCTCGATTTGAGGTGTTACCATGGTTGTCAAAATCGCGATTCGGGTCCTATAACCAAAATTGATCAGAATCACATGCAGAATCGCAAATTACACTAATCGAGCACAGGATCGGCAGGATCGGTAGGATCGTGTAGAATCGTAGGATCGTACGATCCTATATCGATCCTGCAAAATTTTGCTAATATGTGAAATATGAGACTCCATTTTGCAAGTAAATGAAAACATTTGGGGTAGGCTTGTAATTTATCAAAGAATTGCTGCCTTTAATTGCAATGTTTTAACAATTTTAGTTCAAAAAGTCAAAAAATTGAGAGTTCAGATTTATTGCAACTGTCCTAGACAGGTGTTTTGTTATAACAGATGCAACAAAACAAGAGAACAACCAAGAACACGAGAACAATTTTTGGGAAAATCAGATTTTTATTAGGGCTTGGAACGATTCAGAAGTAGTATATACAGAATGGATATAAGGTGTATATATATACAACCAAACGGATCGGACCCAAAAATAGGTCCATAACAAAAAATCCAAAATAAACAGACACGGTAACTAATATATACCGTAAGCTTCGGGGGCAATGCTGCCCCCCGGACACCCCAGCCGGGGCGTGTCGCCCCTTGGACCCCCGACTCGCTGACCGGGCAACGAGACCCCCGAACAAATCAGCGTAATGCAACATAGTCGAAATGCCATAGGTCGAGGACCTGATTCAAGGCATCCCAACATGTTTTAACTCCCCCCTTCAAGTCTACAATTAGGTTAAGTATGAATCTGGTGACTGACATACACTCTTACAATAAGCACAAAACGCCCCTGACTAGATCATTTTGATGCGGTTTATGTCTTGATTGACTGAATGTGGTTCAATTGTGCATCCACTCTTTAGCATGGGATCCCTTACAGTAGGATTCTATGGGTTGTACAACCCTATCAATTTGGTTGTGCAGTGAGAAATTTGTTATTTCTGAAAATGTATCTTATTGGCAATGGAGATGTCATTGCGTAGATGGCAGCCATGTGTTTAGATTTCATCATTGGAGGTTGATAATTATTTTATATTTGAAATTATGATTGTGTAAACTGTAAAGCATTTGGTTTTAAGACTTGAAATCATGATAGATAACAGGTTTATATTCTTTTCTTTATTACTTGTCAAATAGTAAGTAAAAAATGCTATATATTTATGAATAACTTATTTATTTGATATCTTTTAAAATGTACAAAATAATATATGAATTTCAAATTCATTAATTTAGTAAATTTATGAACTTTTGGTGGGATCTTACGATCCTACGATCCGATTCTGTGAAACTAAAATCGATCCTACGTAGGATCCTGATTTTACAAACCTTGGGTGTTACGGCTAATGGATAGAGCATCATGCATGAAAGAGGAGCGAAAATGGAAGGCTTTTCTTTTGGAATAATAAACAGAATTGGCTGTTTAATTCAATATAAATTTGGCTAATATACCTGGAATCTCTATAACATGAGGAGTTCATATTGTGTTGACATATTAAAAATTATGACACCTGTTAGGCCTTCAAGTACGCCTTCAAGTACGCAAACAAATGTTGAAATAGTGCTAAGTTTTATCATAAAAATTTAGAATATTTCATGCCAATTTCTTTCTCTATTTTATCTCTTCTCACTCATCGGGAACATTTTGGTATAATGTGGTAATCAACTCTCGGTCAACAGGGTGGGCAACCATTCACTGGCGGCAAATAATTGTAGCGATACATAGTTGGATGATTAAAAGATTAAAATAATGTCTTTTTGAAATATATTCCATTAGGTTTATGGCTCAAATAGACAGAAGGGGCGAATTTCTACTAATATTGTTAAAATTAAAAAGTTCACAAAAGTGATATAAATTGGAAGTTCGTTCTACATTAAGGTTTGCCGCAAATGGTATTCGAGGCTTCTTTAAAAAATTATTTCATTTTTCATTTTTCCCCCTACGAATCTAAGGAGTGATTTTTTTTTTGAAAAGCCTTCACCGCTCGTGAAATGAGACCGCGAAGGCCAAAAATTGTTACTTAATCAAACTACTTCGCTGCTCATGAAATGAAATTATTACAAACACATAAAAAAAGCATTACATGTAAGAATTATTATAAATGCCTTTCATAATAAATAGCCTACAATTGTGCCCGTATTCAAAAACTTTCCCCTCAGTAATTTTTTTCGCCTTCAATGTTTATCCCAAACAACTTAAATGAACAGCTTGTTATTTGATTTTCGCATGCTTAATTTTTTTTTTTTAACATCTTATATGTATAATGAGTAGTATTTAGGAAGCAATCAATTCTCACTTTCAGACGGACCAACACTTTATATGGGATAAATTCCTTGATTTGTCTGCCAAGTTCATTCTTTTCTTCTCTTCAAGCACATGAATAGAGGCCTTTATTTCCTTGTTCTGTTTTTCAGTTTGGGCAGCATGGGAAAAATTAGAATCAACCAAACACCTCTAGATATTTTTAATGATTTGGACATTTCCAAAATCCCAAGAGTTTACTATCAGGACTTTTAAGGCCTACCGAAGACATGAACTGTTTTATTTTTAATTATTTCTACTTGTATTAATATGATACATGCAATGTAAACTTAGCATTGCAGGGGCAATAAGTACATGGTCCGTGAAATTAAAGGCCCAAAACGAAATTATGCCAAATAAAGGTCCTCAGGACAAGGAAACAGCAAGCATGAAGGGCCCAATTAGGGCAGGGGAAACCAACTGGAAATTTGAACTTGAAGAAGCCACACGTTAATGGCAAATGATGGGAGACGAGTGAATTTAACCTCCCATCCTACATAGGCACTTTATGAAGACCAAATGGGTGCACTAATATTAGCAACAAATAATGGGAGTCAAGGGTTAATTTGACCTCCCATACTATAAATACACTTTATTAAGATCATGGGTGCACCAGCGAATGTGAGGAGGTAAGGGTAGGGATGGCAATGCGGGCACCCGTCCCGCGGGGGGCTAACGGGGAGGGGGTTGGGGCGGGGGGCGGGGGAATTTTTTTCCCCCCGCTTAGAAACGGGGCAAGGGACAGGGGAGTGTACCCCCGCCCCGCCACCCGCTTTAAAAAAATAAATATATAATATATATGTATATAATTATATATATAATATATAATTTAATTAGTTACAAACTTATGATAATGATATTATTAGTTATATATATTATATGATGTCTATTAGTATATATAATATAATTGATATTATTAATTATACTAATAATTATATATGTGTACTAATACAAATTATTAATTGGTTATACTAAATTTACTAATACATTTATATTAAATCCCTAATTACACTTAATACAATAACATTTTTTTCTTAAAAAAAGCACAAGTATAATAATGAATTAGTGATTGTATTTGTGCCAAAAGTGAAAACTTGACTACTTTAGTTATATTTATTTCATCATGGTGGATTGTATTCAAATAATTTTTGTTTGATTGTTTTTATAAATTTCAATTATAAAATTACAATGAATAATAATTTGATGATGTGTTGATATTTTAGTACTTGATTATTTGAAAAAATTTAATCATAATAAAATTATATAACAAATTTTTATTAGTCCCGCGGGAAAAGCAGGACGGGGGAAGCAGGGGACGGGGGATGGGGCGGGGGCGGGGGGAGTTTGTAGGCAGCAGGGCGGGGGTTGGGGGAGGGGTTCCCCGCCCCGTTGCCATCCCTAGGTAAGGGTCAATTTAACCTCCCACATCGCAAAGATGCTTTATTAAGACGAGATGGATGCACTAACATTAGTGATAAATAATGGGAGGCAAGAGTTAATTTGATCTCCTACACTACAAAGACACTTTATCAAGACCAAATGAGTATACTATGCACTGATTATGGGTACACTAACATTAGTAGCAAATTATGAGAGACAAGGGTCAATTTGACCTTCCACATTATTAAGATACCAATTTAAAGACAAATATCAATTTAACGAGATGGGTACACTTTATTAAGACGAGATGGGTACATTAACATTAGTAACAAATGACTTGATGTCTCACATCGCAAAGATACTTTATTGAGAGTGTAGCCACTGTTAGTTACCCAAAAAATCATTAATGACAAAAGAGTCATTCCTTCTTTAATAGTGGGATAATTAAAAAAGCAAGCATTGAAGTGTGAGATTTCAAATAATTAAAAAAAATGGACTAAAAAAGCTTGTCGGTTGGTCTAAATTATGTGACGAAAATAAAGAGCGAAATAGCGGCAAAGCAAAGTATGTTGAATTGGGGGAAACAGAAGTGATGTTGAATATAAAACATTCTTTTTATTTATTTATATATTTTGATAAAAACTTGAAATAATTTTATTAATCACTACACGACATACCTTCCATTCTACGCATGAATTATAAATACCAATACCAACTTTTTTCCTCCGGCAAGTCAAAATATTCTGAGGTTAGGGACGGTGGATACCATGTCCGCATCAAGCCCACTGATGAAATCTTCTGGCATGTCCACAAGCTCAAGCGCATCAAGACTAGATATGTGCTTCAGCTCTTCCGGCAACTTTTCTAAACTGTAGCACTCCCTAATTCTCAGGCACTGGAGCTGTGGCAATGCACCTTCCTCCACCTTTATTTCATCCACTCTTAGGTATCTGAGCTCAAGGAATTTCAATTGGTGAAACCCATGCCTAGAAATGACCATATGCTGTGGTCCCCTGTATGCATCTTTCATTTTGAGAAACGACAGCTGTCCCAACTTCTCTAGCACTGGCATTGGGTCATTCCTGAGGAATGTGTTTTTCAAAGACAAGCGAGAGAGATTTGGAGGGAAATCAGGAGGCAGCTTTCTCAAAAACATCCCGGATAGCTTGAGCTCTGTTACATGATGGAGCTTAGAAAGTCCAGCTAGAGATGGCCACACTGTTGTTATATTACGATAAAGATGTAACGTCTTTAGGTTTTCAACCTCAGATAAATGCAAGCAGAGTTTGTCAATCTCTGACCTTTCACCCACCCAAATCCCCAGTTTCTGAAGACTTGTCAAAGTTATCATGTTATTGTGCATAATGTCATCAAAGTTTACGCCTAACAGAGTCTGGAGATTCCTCAATCCATCAATCTTAAGAGGCACATCGCACTCCATACGACACGCATATAGATGCCGTAAACTTTCAAGCTTCCAAATGAAATTTGAAACTTCTACTGGGTAATAGGTCCGTATGTCAAGAGTTTGTAGGTTTCGCAAGCAACCCAAGGAATGAGGGAGCCTTCTAATGAGTGTGCGTCTTAAACCGAGATACCTTAGAAGCCTGACTTCACCAATTTCTTTTGGCAAATAATCCATCCCAGCTTTCTCAAGGTCTAGTATCCTGAGCTTTCTGAAACTTTTGAAGCTAAGACTGAAGTTTTCCCTGTGGACATTTAAAAAAAGTAGAGACCGGAGAGGAGGGGTTGAAGACCCAAAATAATTTTTATCCAGAGGGAGACTATGAACAGCAAGGTACCTGGATTTGGCTGATATTTCATCATCTCTGGTGTCATGGACCTGAAAAAAATTTTCATCCTCTGCCTTTCTGATTGCAAGCTCTCGCAGTAAATCATGGACTCTGCAGCTTTTAATCCTCTCATCAACAGTCATTTCCGCCACTTGGACCATATTCCTACTACAAAGTCGTTCCACATCATCATATGCTGCAGTTTCCTCCAAATTTTTTGCATCTCTTTTCTGCATTATTCCCTCTGCAACCCACATATGGATCAACTTGCGCACAGAAATCACGGAGTCCTCTGGAAACAAACCCAAATACAAAAAGCAATATTTCAGATTGGCAGGAAGATCTGCATAACTTAATTCCAGAATCGGCCCTGCTTCACTCTGGCTCCTTGACAGGTATGCGTTGAAGTTGTTGAGAACTTTCTCCCATTCACTCTTCAACTTTTTCTTGCCCAGTAGCAGGCCACCAATAACCGTTATGGCCAGTGGTAGACCGGCACATCGCCCCGCAATTTTCCTGCCTACTACTTCCAAATCTGAAGGACAAACAGCATTAGCTCCGTGGCCTAAGGCCTTTTTGAGGAACAACTGCCAGCTATCGTCCTCCCCCAAAGTTTTCAACTCATGTGGGATGCTAAGAGCATCTGCGTGTACGGCAACATCCCGCTTGCGACTTGTAAGTAGCACTCTACTTGATGTATTAACATCAGGAAAGGCCCTCCTGGCAAGACAATCCCACGCTTCTTCCTTCCATACATCATCAAGTACCACAAGATAACATTTGTCTTGTAGATCTTTATACAGCCTTTCTTCCAAGTCCTGCTCCTGCATCTTTTCCAACATGTCAAGTAGCTCATTAGTTACTGGATTCAGTTGCTTTATGATTGATGTCAGCGTCTCTTTGTGATTGTAAATTGAAGAGACACATACCCAAGCACGACAGTCGAATCTCTCCCTAACATCAGCATGGTTATAAACTTTCTTGGCTAGAGTTGTCTTACCTGCACCTCCCATGCCAATGATTGAAACCACACGGCGGTTTCTGTCCTCTTTCAAGAGTTCTGCCACCAGGGATTTTGTTATCTCCCCGAAGCCCACTATATCCTTGTCCTCGATGAGAGGAGAGGATCGCCGGATCCGTTGAAGCTCTTCTCCATGTGTAGTCATCCCCTCTCCAAGATTTTTGATACCGTACTCTACGCGGCTATCAGCAATCTCCTTGAGCCTCATCCGTAAGGATTCAATCTCTTTACCTATCTTGTAGAAGTTCACAATTTTGAAGGGATAATATGTCAATTTAGTGACGATTCCCTTGTCCTTTGTGAAGAACTCAACTTTGCTGGCAAATATCTCGATGATATCCTCCGCATCGTAGGCCGCAGCTCTGATTTCAGAAACCCAGTTGCGAATCCTCTCATCTTCATCTTGCCTCTGATCAGCATCTTTCAGGAAACACCGCATCCGCACCAGATCATTTCGAAGTCTCTCAACTTGTCGTCGAACGCCTTTCAGGAAAACAAGTTTTTGAATCAGCAGATCTCCAGTTTTCTCGATAATAAGAGAGATAACAGGGTCAGCCATCCTGGTAAAGTGAGCTTTGCTTTGAATAACTAGTAAAGGAGGAGAAGCTTTTGCCTGTTAGGTGCAGCTGCAAAACTTCTAATGTCTGTTGTTTTTAACTGATCTCAGAAGAGAAAGCAGTTCGATTCAGTCAAAAAGAAAGCAGTTCGATTCACACGGTCGAGACGACGTCAATTATATATATAATAAAAAGGGCTCTGCTGGTGGCGTGTTTTGGGATGGTGGAATGGATGAAGAATAATTAAATATGAAGAAGAATGAAATCAAGGATATCAAACAAAGTATACGAAGGATGAAGGATGAACTAAGTAGTGTGTAATAGTTAAATTTCTCATGTACTAATTCACAGTTACAAGTATTTTCTTTTCTTTTCTTTTTTTCAAAACTAAACTTATAAATGATTAGAAAAGAAGAGTTTTTTTTTTTTTTGTTTGAAGAAACATTTTAGTGGATTCAAGTTTCGGTTGAGGTGGATATTTGAATGTAACACTTTTAGATGCACAGAAAGCGGACGGCCTAAGTGAACGTCAAACGGTAGTATAGTGGATATTTTGCTGTTTTTGTGTGTATAATTAGTTTTAAAATTTAAAGTTGTCTAAATTTTTAATTCACTACCCGAATTTTTAAGTGCAAAAAAACTTTCAAAGAGAACAAATTTTAAAATTTGACAGGAAAGAAAAAAAAAATGTCAGAAGAGAGGCTCGATTCTCACGTGGTTCATTTTCTCTTCCAGTCGAAAAGAAAGCAGTTCGATTTACATTGTAGGGACGTCTAGGAGCCCTCCAAAAAAGATAAAGGTGCGCATTTTTCCATTTCATAATCTGGACACATTATTGTAGTTTAGCTTTATTTATACGACCTTTTGGAGTGCAAAATCTTTCAAGATATTTTAAGACCTAATTAATGGTACTCATTGTAACAGAGCAGACATCTACCGACAACTTTGTACAGAGACCAAATAACAATTTTCATGGTCAAAATTAGGAACTAAGAGTAAATAACCTTGCAAAGCAAGAACCTCACTTTTGCTCAACTCTTGAGAAAATATAATGATGATACACAAGAGGGTCATACCTGTGTTTCAACCATTGAGTGGATGATAGACTGAGGATGAATAACGATTTCAATGTCGTCATAATCGGCCCCATAAAGATAATGGGCTTCAATAACTTCAAGTCCCTGCAAAGAAAAAATGCTCCATGACAAAGTTATCCAAATATTTTGGTTCGTTGGGGTTCATGAGAAAGTTCAAGAAGAAACAGTTGTCATGGTCAGGTGAGTACGCCAGAAAATCACCTTATTGAATAAGGTGGCAGAATCCACTGTAATCTTTTTTCCCATGTTCCAGTTAGGATGATTCAACGCATCTGCTACTTTATCAATTTCTCAACTGGCCAATCCCTGGTGTTGATACCATAACAGATTGCAAACATCAGTTCAACAACTCCAGCATTGAGAAAAGAGAACAAAATTTCAAACACTAACGGAAACTGAGAGAGAAAACAGGAGGTGGAGTTTTTTCATTGTTCCTGGCATGAGAGCTTATTTTGCTTTTTGTGTAGGAATTAAGAGATTTTTAAGAGCATTCATATGAAATTTTACAGCTGTTCACTGATCTGTTTTAAAAGAAACCACAAATATCTCGAATTTAGGTCGACCTAATGCAAAACTAGAATAATGTGCAACTTAAAAAACTGCATTGATTCAGAACAATTAACTCTCAGAAGAAAAATATGAGATCCAAGTTTATATGAACTTAAATTTGCACGCTGAGATTGGAAAGTTGGAGGATAATTTTTCCTAGTTATTATAAACATCAAAAACTCCACAAGCTTTGGAAGTAAATTTAGCAGAATTTAATAAAAAGGTTGTTCAGTATCTACAAGATAATACAGTTAACGATCATTTGCAAAATCTTCCATAGAAATTTATATGTCATACCTGAAAGCACCACCAGATGCTGTTAAAATGATACGTCGAAGAGCACCCTCAGCCAGACCTTGTATACACTGAACCAAACAGCCGATTTATCAACTCATTCTCAGGCTCTTTCAGGAAATCTGAGAGTCGAATACTTACTCGAGCTTCAGTCTAGTAAACTCTATCATCATTACAGTCAATGTGCAGATTATCTTTGACCTTTCCGGCTAGTGGATAAAAGGGTACTAAAGTTCTCGATAGTGATTGCTTTAGATGTTGCCTTTTTTTTTGAAATAACATCATTTAGCCTGGTGCTTTGATTCATCGGGGAGAAAAAGAACACAAGACTTGAAAAATCCTGAAGAATAAGCTAATCAATGAGTGAAAGTCTAATGGTTCTCAAGTGAAGTGGAGTTGGAGACGCTGGTTTGATTTCTTCCTTGGATATGATCTCTATTTCCATAGCTGTAGTTTCTTGGCTGTGAATCAACTGGATGCTGCAGATCAAAGGTGTTCCAAAAGTATTTCCTCACAAAATATCAAATGAAAAAAAAAATTTAATCTGCTTTTAGCAACTACTAAATCCGCCCAATCAATTCTCAAGACTCAGTTACAGTAGAAATCTTTTCTTTTCATTTTTCCCCCATCTACTCAAGAAAACTTTTTTTTTTTTTAAGTTGCAGTCATATTTCTCTCCTTTTTTTTTCATCTTCTACTTTAGTTTGTTGGCACCTACGAAGTCTTGTTTCAATATAAATTGTGCTGATCATAAAATGACTAGCATCATTAAGGTTGCGCAAAGCATTGAAATTAACACATTAGAGATGAATACCAGTTAGTATTGGAAGGGCAAAATACCTAAATGGCCCTCAAACTTTCATGCTCTTATACTTTTAACCCGCTGTGACTATTAAATGTATTTTTTTGCCCCCTGAATTCTTAAAAGGGTGTTCCTGTAGGGGGAGGCAAAGTGACAAATTTTGATTTAAACATTAAGGCTTCATTTATAAGTTTTAGAAAACTTTAAGGGGCCTATATAGATTTTAAAAATTGTAGGGAGGGGAGGTGTTGGTTGCCGCTGCCCACCCTCTGTAAATCCAACCTTAATGACTGACCATAATAAAAGGAAAAATGATGCAAATAGTTCCTCACATATTGCATTTACATCTTTTTAGCCCTTCACTTTTAAAATGATGAAAATTCATCCTTTAGATAAATAAAATGTGTCATTTTGGTTCCTATATCCATTTTGATGACTTTTTAGTTAGAAAATGGTCATGTGCTACCATGCGATAATGATTTTAGGGGTAAAATAGGTAAAATAGACATCACACCCTATTCTCACCAAAATACACCACATCTAGTAAAACTAATAATTAAGAAAAAGTTATATTGTTGTTTTGAAAAATCTAGAGGACTTTTAAAATAGGAAAGTCCTAACTTCCAAAGAAGAAATTTAACCCCAAAAATAATAGTTAAAAAATGGAAAAGTGAGGATAAAAGTTGCAATCAAAACAAACTTGATGAAATATTAAAAAATAAAAAATATATGTATATAAAAAAAAAGGAACACATATAGAACAAAAACAAAGCACATATCTTAGGACATGTGTTTAGACTTCAGATTTGCCATCATTCTGATATAGAAAATTCAGAAATTTAATTTTCAGTTGAAAATAATATAATATTTGTTTTGCCCTTGAAATTATCATTACGTGGTGGCACATGACATTTTCTAGCCAAAAGCACTTGAAATGAGTGTAAGGAACAAAATGTGCATTTTGAATAGGTGAAGGATGAATTTACTTCATTTTGAAAGTGATGGATGAAAAGGTACAATTATAATATGTGACGGACCATTTATGCGATTTTCCCTTAATAAAACTTGGCTTGGAGAGGCCAATTTCTTACATGTTGAGTTTCTCATGCACCATTGAAAAGTGACTGTTGGAGTTAAAATTTAGAGGCACTTGATGGTGTGATTTGGGGCATTTTGAGATTCAATTGGTTATGATTAAATTGTGCGTGGAAATTTGAAGACATGTATAAGTAACTTTGAATGAAGTATAAAGAACAAGAAAAAAAGGATGAATTTATTTGGAAAATTTTTTTGGACATTCTTAAAATATGTTTTCTCATTACTTCTTATTTTCTTATTACTTTTTAATCTCACATATATCATATGGTTAATAGCATTGAACGTCTATGATAGGATGATTAGACTTCTTTAATGGGGTGATTTGCACTTTGTCACATAGTACTATTTCCCAAGCACTTCTTTACCGCACCTCGGCTATGAAAGTAAGATTTGACCGTTATATAATGCCTTAATTTCAAATGTTGCCCTCATTTTAATGCTAACTTGCAATTTCCCTTGAATATAACCTTATTTGCAGTTTGCCATCTAAAGAATTTTAAGGCAGCTTACACTACTGTTATTTCAATTACGTTTTGTTTTTTATTGTCTCTTATTTTTCTTTATACATATAAATATATGCCATATACATGTATATATGCCGTCCCTCTATTCACTTCAAAACTATTACATAAGTATTGACAATTGCCTAATTTCAGCCTCTAACTTTTATTTTTAGATTTATGTATTTTCATTTTAAAGTTATATATGTTTTTTCATCCAAGAAACAAACTAACTGCAACATATAGTAAACTTAACATCAAAACTTTTATTAACTATTCATAGTGAAAAAAGAAAAAAAAATAACCATTGACACGTAAAAGAATGTTGGTGACAACTAAAAAACTAAATGTTAAAGTATAACTGTATACATGTCTCCTGCATTTCAAAGCATATTTAATTGGGCAATAAATTATTTAGACATGTATAAAACTTGGAGTTTGTGATTAAAAAATTATTGACAATAAAATAGTGGCTTTTTTTAGTAGTGGCTAATAATGATAAAATTAAGGGGAAAACTAAAAGAGAGAAAGAGGGAAATGAAATAAAGGGAGAAAAAGAACACTGTGAATAGGTAAAATATCAAAGATAAACTTATCCTTCAACATAAATTAGGAGGTAAATTGTGTATAAAATTCTTTTGAGGCGCAAAGTGCAACTAAAGTTGTAGTTTGTAGGGAAAAACTGCAATTGCCAGCTTAAGGGCGATTACGTGTTTTTACTAGACCTTTACCTTTCGCTATTAATCTAGGAGGCAAAGCGCTTTAAAAAAATTATTAATTCGCAGAATCCAAATCGCCTCAAATGTTAAGGGCTGTTTAATTCTATGAACCCTACATAATATCTCAAATTAGTGCTAGGATAACTCAAAAGAAAATTTTCCGATATAATCTCGGA